TCCTTTTCTTTTTCCTTTCCTTTCTCCTTTCCTTTCTCCTTTCCTTTCTCCTTTCCTTTGTCCTGAAACTCACAAATGCGATTTAGGGGACAACAACTAGCATATTCACACCAGAACAGGGGATTGTATAATAAATTTTATATACCATCAAGACTTTAAGTCTATATCTCTAATAGCAACGGACTGAAACTTAGAATGCCTTGGACCAAAAAAATATTGAAAGGGTCTCCAAATATGGCGATAATCATGCGCACTTAGAATGCCTCATAAAGTCCAGCTCGCAGGTTTGAATGTTTTAGCGATGGAGGCATTCTAAGTGAGGCCAAAAAAAAGGCATTCTAAGTGGCACCGTTAAAAATCTTGAGAAACATGGCGGCATTCTAAGTTTCAGTCCGTCGCTATAAATTCTCTCCATGCATCTCTAGGCATAAAGTGACACCTGTGCATCATCAGACCCATGAATGCAGTTCCCTCCCTTCCAACACAAGCCTAAACATAGATTGTGCATGATTGTGCAAGGCGTCTTTTGAGCGAACCTCCGGTGATGCAAAAGCCACGGACATGCTTGGACTTATCAAAGGGCGAGCGTCCAAACAGTTGGGCCGAGGTTCCTCGATTGCTTCTGTTGGTCCAGGGATTGTTTCAAGAAACTCAAAGCTTCTCAGGGTGTTGGGTCGTGGCAACTTTGCAGCCTCAGGTTGACGGCCGGGTATTGAGGGAAAATCTGCACATTGCGCCAACCTTGGGAACATGCCTTGAATATTTTAGATAACTGAGACTTGCAGCTGGAAGCAGGGGCCAAGATGAGCCAAGGTTCGGATCTACTTAGAAACGCACTTTGCAGAAGCTCCACCAATTGGAGCTGTTTTGAAGGTTTGGCCGGACGCGCGCGAAACCAATCAAACCGAGACATATTTGTGACCTGCTGTCAGGCAAATGCTTATGGACATGGTGCAGTATTGGCAGGCATGAATAAACCAGACCAGAAAGGGAATGTATGGGAATGTGTTTGGCAGTCTCGACTACTTGACACTTGCAAGTTGCTATCTGGTCAGAAAGTCACATGTTGTGCAAGCCCATCGTACAGGTCATGAAAGCGATTGTATAAGAAACCTGACCAGACTCTGCGTGCTCTCAGGCAGAGTCCTAGCTTCAGCGAAGATCGATGCACTTTTTGTGTCAGAAGTTGAGACTGGGTCAGGAACCTGGTGTTTTCATTGCTTTTTGACCGCAGAATCAGAGGGCATTAGCTTAATGTCAATGGCATCTTTTTGCATGATCCACTTGTCACAGAGTTATCATAGTATTATTGCGATGTCACTGACAGCTTTTCAGGTTGATTTTGCGCATGGCCCCAGAAGTTACGAGCTGAGCAATGTCTTGGGTGAGGGGCAGTGAGGTTGTAGTACTTGGACAGCAGCTGCTACTGTTGCAAAATGCGATTCTGAGGATGCAAAAGATGCAAAAGCATATGAACAAAGGACAACAGTGGGATAAAGCAACGGCGGAAACAGAAATGGTAAGAATCTTGGTCTTTCAGCTTGAACTTTCATCCGAGGTGCCGATGTTTTTGCCCATGATCTTGCTGTATCGATCACCCGGGATGGCCACGATGTGCAAACTGGCTTCTGCCACCCTGGCACGTCTTTGCAGAATTTTCATGGACTCTTGTGACAAGAACGTAGCGACGTAGCTGTGCCGATTGATCCCATTTGTAACCAGGCAAACATTACCGTCTCTGTCCTGTCCATGGCTTGGCTCCAACAGGCTTGTTTCTCAAAACTCACCGCAAAAATGATTGGAAAGTTGTTGCATTGACGGCGTGTGCGAACCAAGAGAATTATCTCGCAAAATCCTAGTTCCAATGCATGTTGCTTGGAGGCGCTTCGGTGGCCATCTTGCAGCTCGAAAGTAAGGCTGCATCCAGCTGTGCACGATATGTTTTTTGTTGGAAAGCGAGAGGTCCATGCTGCTAAGAGCGTCACCCGGATGCACCTGGCATATCCTCTGCGCAACTATTATCATTTCTAGTGCAACTGCTACTACCGCTACTATTTGGTCGTGCCAGTGCTATCACTATTACCGCTACTGGCAATACTATATATGATATTGTTATATAATTATATATATATACACGTTCGACTTCGCATTTGAGGGTCCGGGTAAATCCACCATCATGTCTCATGTCCATGATGCAACACTCAGATGCTCCTTCAAGTTGTGTTTCTATGTGTTTCTCCTTTGTTCGTGCTACCCACGGACGTGGTATGAACTTCCCTACCTACTTTTTCCCGCTAGCACCTTCGTTCATGGACAAAGATGGACAAAGGACATTTAACCTATTTGCACTTCAGCAGACACCAAGTTGTAAGAATGTTGTAAGTAATTCTAAGACTTGCTGCAGCGAATTCCGGGACAGGCTTCACATCATGGTGGATACTGGCCTAAATCGAGAAGGTTTGGCAGCCCAGGAGGTCGCTGAAGCGGCAACGATTGTTTTGCAAAAGTGGCCCAGCTGGTCTCTGGATGGCTTCTACACCCATTGGTGCTGCGTGTTTGAGGCTCAGAATATGCCAGAACCATGTGAGGTCCATACTTTACTGAATTTTCATATCAGTCACAATTCTCTTTTCGTATGGGAACCAAAAAGTCTGCACCTGGTAAGGTACGACCCTGTTGAGATGCATCGTTCACTTGCAGTATTTGAACATGCGCTGGGACTTGTGCAGGATTGGTCGCGCTGCTTTGCTTCTGGTCTTTGTTTTGGCACAATATTATCAATGAATGTGTATTGATGAGCGACAAGTATTTACCTACTTGCTTCCATAAAAAATGTTCTTCGTTCATGTATGTGTGCCATCATGTACAAATTGGCTTTGTCTCTATCATGCAAGTATTCTTGCGTATTCATGCACTGTTGTCTAGTCATGTATGCTCTAGGCTCCACCAGATTTTGGAGTGTTCAAGGTTTTGTTTTGCGTGTTGTGGGGGACATGGCTTTGGGTTTTCAAGCAGCATGGGGGCCAGGTCACTAGGCCGCTGAGTAATCTTGAATCCTCAACACTCCGGCAGGAAGCCAGGAGCACTTTTGGAGATGCTGGAAATCAGCCACTAACAGCCAGCCTCTTAGGGTAGGTTGAGAAGGGATGTAATTCCTTCTGGTCGAATCGCACTCACGCGCACGGACATGCAAACTTGACTATTGTGTAATACTTAGTTCCGCGCGGAATGGACACAATGCTGCACGACAGAATGGTCCAGTGCTGAATTTGATTTCTGTAGTGGTGACTAAGGTCCATACTTCAAGCAGCTCAAGCATTCTTTTTGGAGTGCACTACGCCAATGCCTTAGTCTTTCAACCAATCGAAAGAACTAGATGGCGCAGATATGCACAGATCACTCAGAGGGTAAGCCAGTAAAAAAAACTGGACTGGCACAGCTAGTCCTAACCATACACTAGTCCATGGAATTTATAGGGACCCCCTAAGGATGGGACCCCATTCCCACAGGTTTCCCATGCTATTAGGGTTTCTTTGGGAGGAGTATGGGAAGCTTACGGGAATGGGGGTCCCATTATTGGGGTCCATGTAATTTCCACCAAACTAGCTGCTTGTAAAGCAAGGAACTCAAGTCACTCCATTGTTTCCCAGGATCTGCTGAGAATTGGTGGTTTGCTATTTGGAGATCCTGTGGCAATTTCGGATGGTGCCGGGGGGACAATGCGCTTGCCCGGGCTTGGAGCTTAGCTCAATGGGATTTGCCCAATGGAAAAAAATTGCAACGGGCGAAGCTTGATGGGTTAAATTTTCCAAAACTCGGTGCAATTTTAACTCAGAGTTTTGATTTGTAAATTTGGCACATGGACGAAATTTGCCATTCTGATTCACCAAGACCACATCGAACGCTTCTGTGGAAAAGCAAGATAACTACAATGCGTCAGCGACCCAGAGGGTAAAATTTGGTAAAGGTTGTATGGCGGCAACGAATGCGAGAACAGTGGTCGAGTAAAGTGAAGGTATTGTGAAGTAATCTGGACGCATGACAAAATTATGAGATACATTGAGATGCATTGAGATACTTTGAGCTCACGATGTGTTTGGCGTCACCGCGTCACAGTACAGGCTGGTCTGTGCCTGGAGAGCGCTTCTCCAGATGCACAGCCAACTATGGTTGTGAACGCGGACCAGTTTTCGAAAAACGAATGTTGCTGGGGACTATTCCGGTGCGAAGCAAAGATTTCCAGCTGTCAAAGCGTGCTGACTCTGCAGCTTGCGCTTGGAGAGTTGATGCGCAAAGGTAGGTGCGTATGAGTTCAGCGATTCCAATATCGTGAGTAGCTGGAATCTAAGGTCTCGCCAGCAGTTGAAACGTTTGTCCGTGAAGTAGAACTGCAGAACCAACATGAGGTCACTTTCGAGAGAAGCTGAATTTGATCGAGAAGTCCACGGACAGCTACAAAGAGCAGAGCAATCACAATCACAAGCTGTCACAAGCAAAGGATGCATAGAATGTCTATTGATAGGATTTCAGATTTGCACGAGCACGAGCTGCTCTGCAGATGTATTCATTGCAAGTGTCTGTGCAGTGTGAGCAGACGCGTCAGGATGCCATCTTGGTAGAAATTCCTAGTACTTCGCGAAGCTTTCACCAAGCATTTGAAGGTATGGAGGCCACAGCGCACAAAAGTGGAACAGAACTGCAGATGACCGGCTTGAGTGTGGTTATGTACGGCGATCCTGTTCATATTTGAGGAATGCTGGTGCCTGCCAGCACCAGATAGTACATAAATGTACACAAAATATAATATCTATATAAAATATAAATATCATTAAGATCATGATAGATTATGTATTCATTAATATTTATGTATTATAATTTAAGGGCTGCCGCCCCTGCCGCCGACCCCGGAAAAATTGGACCTCGATTTTTTGATCCTCCACCTTGTTTCTTTGACCCCCCACCTTGCCTTTTCGAGGCGCTTGCTACAATAGTATGGATATTATATATATATGTATATATATATATATGGGCCCTATTATTATACATAGAAAGAGGAAAAGGCCGGGTGGTCACTTTGGAAGAAGATTTGGTGGACCGGGCGTGGTAAACCGGCTGGATTGATAGCTTGCTTACAGGTACGCAGGACCCCCTTCCGTTATATGTTGATTTATAATCCCATCTGACTATAGATGTACCCACCATAACTCCAAGTTATTTGGTAACCAAATGGCAAATCGTTTGGGGGCCACCGGGGATATCTATGGATATCTCGTATTTGTATACAATACAGTATGTATAGTTTTGTACATATCATATGATATATCATACATCTCACTATGATTAGATATAATATTCACATATATATATATATAGTACACTCATTCTATATTAACGTATACTCACGTGAAATCAAATGAAGACATATAGAGAGCACCCAACATAGATAGCCGATATTGAATTATCACTATTCTAGTAGGATTATTGTCAAAAAACATATCTTTTTTGGCATTGCTAAAATATACCCTCGGGTAAATGAACACAGGGCTTCCATAGAAACATGTCATGAAATCCAATGAAATCAGCTTTTTTTGTTGGGAAAATCCCATATCAACCCTATCCAAAATCCGATTACTTCCACTAAAATCACCATGCGATCTGATTGAATCATGAAATCATATCTGGTTGGTGGTTTGGAACGTTGCCGCTGCTACTGCTGCTGCTGCTGGACTTGCAGCTGCCGCTGCTACTGCCACTGCCGCTGCTCTTACTGCTGCTGCTGCTGCTGTTCTTACTGCTGCTGCTGACAGAAATATACCAAAAGCTGCTGCTGCTGCTGACAGAAGTGTATCAAAAGCACCTCCCGGCACCAAAACAGCAAGGCACGGAAGGACGAACAGGCTACAGAATCGCACCGAAAAACTCTCTAACGTGACTTCTGGAATCCTACTAGAACTGAAGACATGAGGGAACTGATGGATACTAGGCTGCTGCCGTTGCCGCTACTGCTGCTGCTGGACGTGCTGCTGCCGTTGCTCCTGCTGCTGCTGCTGTTGCTGCTGCTGCTGCTGCTGACAGAAGTGTACCAAAAGCACCTCCCGGCACCAAACCAGCAAGGCACGGAAGGACGAACCGGCTACAGAATCGCACCGAAAAACTCTCTAACGTGACTTCTGGAATCCTACTAGAACTGAAGACCTGAGGGAACTGATGAAGGACTGATGAAGGATACTAGAAGGCTGCTGCTGCTGCTGGACTTGCTGCTGCCGATGCTCCTGCTGCTGCTGCTGCTGGCACTGCTGCTGCCGCTGCTACTGCTGACAGAAGTGTACCAAAAGCACCTCCCGGCACCAAAACAGCAGGGCACGGAAGGACGAACAGGCCTCAGAATCGCACCGAAAAACTCTCTAACGTGACTTCTGGAATCCTACTAGAACTGAAGACCTGAGGGAACTGGGTATGCACGGTCATGCTCAAGTCTTTGTCCAATGTCTTCACCAACACACTGCCTTGGAAGAGATTTTTGAGATGTGCGAAGCTCGGCTTCACGAATTGCGGCGCGCGTACGAGCAGTATAATGCTCATGTCTGTCATGCCTCATACGCAGGACAAACCGCAGAAGCCATGGAGTCCAGAATCCTATCTGCCGAGGCATCCTGGCCAGACCACGAAGCTGATGTGGCTATGACAGCTGCCCCGCCGTACCAACTACAACGGGCCGGCGCGCAAGACGTCGAGGCAGAGGCTGCTGAGTGGCGACGTGTCTATATGGAAGAAGACGTTGTGTCGTTACAGCTTGCTAAGCAGCACCATTATCATCCATATAGTGAAGCAGCACAAAGTCGCGTGCCGTTATCGGGTTGCCAAAAAAGCGACCGTCCCGGAGTCTGCAAAAGCGACTTCCCACGTACGCAATGGCTCTGCTCAGCGGCAACTGTGTTGTGCCCATGCAAATTGAAATCTTTCGGCGTGCCGTTCACTGGTCGTAAGAATCGTCTTGGCGCGTTGCACGGACCATATGGGAACGAGTGGTTGAATGGCTGCGCGCCAGCTATGCTCGCAGGGCTTCGCGGCGCAAATTGTGATGTGCAAGTACCTTACAGGCTCCCCTATGCTTGTGACACGTGTGGGCATCAGACGACGGCGAAGGAACGCCGCCTCATCGCATTAGCTGCACAGCGGGCGCAGGACGCGCAGACAGGATATTGTGCAGATTATTGCTCCAAAAGTCAACCCATGGGCTTCGCCGAAATCAAAGAATTTCAAAAGGGACACGAACAATTGCATGCCCAGTTGCAAAGTACGCGTTCTTTAGATGATGTGGGCAAACGCCACGCAACGAGATTCCTCAGTGATGCATACCTCAAAAGCGTGGTCCGCAGCCAGGTAGAATGCTGTAACCTCCGTGCCGAGCACCGTGACTCAACGGTCGTGGCAGCTGAGCGGATCGCAACGGCGGCCTTTGAAAGCCTGTCTGGCGCAGATTTCGTGCACGCTGTATTGCGGCTGACCTCGTCTGATGCCGACGCACTGCCCGCGCAGGCGCGCTCCGGAGCAACGCGGTGGACGCGCCGGCAAAAGTCTGGCGTGCGCCATTTGGCAACCGTGAACGTAGCAGATGTCTATGGTCATCGACCGGTTGGGTCAGAGGTGTGGTGGCTATCTCCTTATGAGTTCACCGCAGCGTGGCGCATTGCTCTGGCACGCGTGCCAACAACACGCCGCGAATGGGAGTCCGAGGATCCAGCTAGCTGGGACGTCGCGCTGACGCAGGCAGGGGTAAAGTTAATCAACGACCAAACGGATGTAGACAAAAAGCTACAGTTGAAACCTAGCCTGCATTATCAACTCATCGTGCGGCCGTCAAGCGATCGAATTCTGCTCGAAGCCAGTACCGCAACAGAAAGCTTGCGGCACCGCTGTTATCTGCAGCGTCGCATGCGACCCTGCTGCCCCCATTTCGAAACTTCGCCTGTCCCCGTGCACAAAGTTGACGCAGCGGAAACAAATGCCCGCCTAACGATGACCTATTTTCGCGCATGGACTTTGAATGCACCTGCAGCATCAGCCAATGTCCCTTTCGCAGGCCGCTTGCGATTGCCAGAGCAAACCTGGGTCGCGGCCATGCGCTTGTGGCTGATGCATCTCCCCTGCGAGGAAACGAAGCGGTATGTCGGCAATTTTTTGTCCGTCTACCGTGTGCGGCCTACAGATGCGCCAGCAGGCAATAGCGACGATAGTGGGGTCGATGAATCTTTGGTAGTGACGCCCGCCACCTTGCCTGTAGCCTTGGAGACTTCGTTTAGACAAACCGGAAAGCGCGCTACAAATCCAAAGCGTGGTGCCGCAGCTGCTATGGACGACCCTTTGCTTGCGAGTTATCAAGCGGCAGCACAACAAGCAGAAGCAGCTTGGCAAGCCTCACCTGCTGTGGGTCCTCCTCTTGCAGGCAGAAATCCATATGATACACAGGAAGCAGCTACTACCCGAAAAGCTTTAAAGACGTTAAGCAAACGCCGCCAAACAACGCCGACGCTTCAAACGAGAGCGCCAACTGCCGGCTCCTGGCAAGCGGTTGCTCGGGATACGGTGCAAAAAGTGAATCAGTTTCTAGTCGACATTGCCAGCAGCCGGAAATGTAATTCGGAGCAAGTCTCCTTTTTAGAAACGGTGTGTGCGAGACTAAAGGCAGAGGCCGTGACAGGGCAAGATCGGGGCGGAATGGCCGAAACCAACACGGAGGCATTGCGATGGGCTTTGCACGGTGGACCCGGCACAGGCAAATCCTACGTTTTGAATTTGTTACGTCGCGAATTGTTCGAAGATTGCTTGGGCTGGCGACAAGGCGTTGAATCCCAAGTCGTCGCGTTCCAAGCCGTGAATGCTGAGCCCTTAGACGGCGAAACGATCCACAAAGCATTGGGGTTGGCGTGGCATGGAAATGACCACAGCATTGATGCACAACGCATATTGGATTTAGCGAAAGAAGCAGTCAAATGGCGTTGGTTGCTCATCGATGAAATCAGTATGGTAAGCGCGGAAATGTTGGCACGACTCGAAGCGCGCTGCCGCCAAATTATTATGGACCTATCAGCAACGAAATACGTAGCAAACCGCGCTCACCGCGTTGCACCTTTCGGTGGACTCAATGTCATTTTTTCCGGCGATTTGTGGCAGCTGCCTCCGCCTCGTGGAACTTTCCTAGGTCAAATCCCATGGCAACTCGTCACTGGAATTTCATCCAAAAAATTGCCTCTGAGCCTTCAAGGCCAGCAACTTGTTTGGGCAAGTAACACCCAAGGCGGGGTGCAAGGTGTCACGGAACTGACGCGCTGCGAACGCACGCAGGATGTTTGGCTGCAAGAGCTTCAAGCGGAGTTGCGGCATGGACGCCTCTCTGAAGACAATCATGCCTTCCTGCACGGCAAACCAACAAAGGTGTGCGGTAGCTGGTCGACCACTACCGCACAGGCGACATGCGGACAAGCTACTTGTCAACGTCTTTCCCAATATGGATCAGCGCCAACTACCATCCAAGCACGCGAGTGCGCGACTTGCCGGACTGAGCGCGCTAGCAAGCAGTTGGTTGCGATCGACCCCAATGACCCTCGCTTCCATGATTTTGAGCTGGCGCGTGCCCTTTTCCACACGAACGGGGTGAAGTGTCATGCT